CAAATTAAATATAATCTATATACACTCTTCAGCAAAACAATTCCCCGAAATAAAATGTTTAAGCCTGAGAATCGAGTCACTATATTGTCTAAATGACTTCAACAAAATGGTAATAACTAAAGTCCAATAGGTAAAGCAATTGTTTAAAAGCCATCTTACAAGTATATAAGGAACTCTTCAAGATATTATCCGGCGCATATTAATGCGATATACATAATTCTGCTAATTTTGTAAGCCAATAAAAAGGTGTTAGAAAGGCGAGAAAAGAGAGCCGAAGTCAAGGATTTTGCCGATAAAATCTATGTAATTCAAGGGGCCGGGCAAGATTATACTGAAGTTATGTTTACTTTCTAACTGAGTAAGCCTAGAAGCCCAACCGTACTTTTACGACCAACACTTCATTTCGACTGGGAAACGTGGCTTGGCCTCCAATACTGACTAGGTTTTGAATCTTGTGCATACTTATGAGATTTTAAAACTTTACTATAGACTATATAGGGAAAACATTTTGTTACCTAGTTAAATAAGCCCTGAAAGCTCGTTAAAGCCTTCTCATTGAATTTGAGGCAGCACAACTTTCAGGCTAAATAAACTAAGTAGAGCATTTGAAAAGCCAGTTGAGATCTGTCTATGAAATCAAATTCGATTTTCACTATTTCTTGACTTGATACATTTATTATTCTATCATAAACTCTTTGAAAATGCGCCTATCGGTCGATAAAGTAATAATTAGAAGATTCTTAAATAGGGTATTAGAAAACCATTGATTTCTTCAGCTGGACAGATTTTCACACCACTATTGCATATAAAGTAAAAGTTCAAAGACCAATTCTTCGGAGAATAATTATGATTTAGAGATGATTTGACCAAAAGTTATCTTCTGGAACTTAGGCTTTAATTTCTTTGCTAAGGGGAAAGCATAAAATTATATTTGCAAGAAGAAGCGCTCATATCTTTTCGTATCAGTGAAAATTGGATAGAGAAAAATGTCCAAGCTGGGAATCGAATAGCAAATCGAGAGCTAACTCAGCCTAAGCTTGTATAAAGAGGGAAAAAATATGAATCCATTTTCATCCACGATAATAATAGCTTATCTTTTGCCTTAAAAATAAGCATAAGTCGTTGCCAATAAATTTGATGCATTCACTCTTTGAAATAAAATGCCAATTCTATTACTTCAAATTTGATAATCGTTTAAAAGTCTTGCTATTCGTCTCCGACAAATAGTTATAACACTATTTTTATTCATAAATCTTAACTGAACGACACAGCTTACAATCTTTATATACTAGTTTCAAGAACATTCCTAGTTTTCAGACTGCTTAGCAAAGGAGACTGCATTATCTAAGCAGTAAAGAATAATGCTGCCAAAAGTTAAAGGTAAGGAGGCATCTCTAATGCGAAATATGCACAGCTAGCACAAATAAAAGCTTTTGCTTATATAAGAATACTGATAAGGATGAAAAGTGTAATTAGACTAAGGTTTTGGCATAAATTTTCTATTGTTGAGCTTACTTCCATTTCGAGTGAAAGTGTTGTGTGAAGAGATTCGAAGGTTTTCTTGATTCGTTAGCTTGAATTTTGTTGTGACGATGTTACCTCGTTCTGATGATGTCTGTAATATGAAGGACGAAAGCTTAGCACCTTTTCACCGGAATCAAGCAAGATTGCCTCGGAAACAGCGTCAGCATGATTGTTCCAGTAAAGCCAATCGACAGCTGGTCAAGAGAAATCCGCCGTCGTCTTCTGGTGGAACCGACCTTCGAATCTCTTCACCCAACACTTTCACTCGAAATTGAAGTAAGCTCAATAATTATGAAACAAGAGATTCCTCGAAACCCAACTTTTCTTCGCATTACATTTTTGAGCCTATTTCCATTTTAAATGAAAGTGCCTTACGAAGAAATTCATAGGCCTGTCTCTCCAGAAGACAGAGGCGAATTACTCTCGGTCAGCTGGTGTTTGATTTCATTGGCACATTCTGACAGACTCAGTCTTCAAGACAACTTATGGAACCATATTCCTCAGGATTTCGTCCCCCAGGAAACACAAACAAGGCTAAAAGAGAGCTAGCCAAGAAGAATTCAGAGTCTTCTTCGAATAAGATCCACCTACAAATCACTTCCTACACATTTTAACTAGAGACAAAAGTGAGCTAAATAATTATCAATGAACCGATGCCTAGTCACAAAGTCAGCATATAAGGATAAAAACTCTCGGATAATAAATTCGTAATCCAATCACACAGCTCTATTGTTTGCCTGTCATAGTAAGTGAAAATAACCTAATACTTCTAAGACAAATATACAGAAGTGTGAGTAAACTACAGTATGCCAGCGGACACTGGTAGGCAAATATAGTGGAGTAAAATGACGCAGAGATTGTTGGTTCGGAAAATATGTCTCACGATCTCTACATAACACCAACATTTTAGGATCCTGAGGCTTTTAAAGCCGGGCTTCAAAGGCCTCAAAGTCTAAACTCAGTTTTCAAAAGGCTAGGCGGCCCAAGGATGTTGATGTGATCGTTTTTTAGTGTATCAGGGCTTACTAGCTGAACTACCCAAATGGAACTTGAGGAGGAAGTGTGAATTCTATAAACCAGCAAATCTTGGCTAACAAAAGAATTTGTACAACTGAAATATTTCTGCTAAATATAAGTACCAAAAGTTTTTTGTAGAAGTCATCCATTACTCAAATGTACTAGGAGCTGAGATCATATGTTAAGTGAATAAAATTTATACTATTAGGCATGTAATAAAGGAGTCCTATTACACCAAAATACACTCCCTACTTTATCATGAAGATCTAAAATATCGAATGGCAAAAAGTCTTAAGCTGTCTCTTCCCTCGAAGTTGGAGTCTTATGGAATTATGAATAGCTTTTACTACCTGCTACCAATAAGGTTGAAGGAATCGATCATTATAGAATTTTATCGTGAATAATCTTTAAAATGATGTTAAGCCTATTAAAAAAAATAAAAATGTGGACCAACTTGCAAGTTCGGCAGAGCGGAGAACTCCTCGAGAAGACATTTTACCATATCAAAATGCCTCCGGCTCACAGCTAAGTGCAAGGGTGTCTGGCGAAGAGCATTACGCGAATTGATGTCAACATTCGTGTCTTCTTCATCTCCTTCCTCACCCTCTTCCTCATCTCCGCCAGCCACCATATGTTCATCTTGTCTTCTAAGGCCTCCATCTTCATTCTGCCCAAAGTCTATGCATATTCTATCGCTATCATTACAGTTATACTCGATATTGCTACTTCTTCTGTCGCTCCTTGAGCTAGTACCATTGTTGTCATCAAAGCTTAAAAGATTCGAAGTAGTCAAGATGCTTGTCATGCCAGGTGCCAATGGGTCAAGTTCGTCCAAAAGGTCACCAAGGTGGGGAGATTGGTCACCAATACTGGCAGGAACACTGGTGGGTAGGTTGGCAGTTCCACTGAAGCAAGGACTGGCTGTAGGCTCTGGTGCAAAAGGATCAAAATTTAGACCGGTGGAACTCCGGCCAACGGAGGTTACTGGTATGGCAGCGGTAGTCCCACTGGTGGTACAAATGATGGATGAAAATTGATCGGCAAATGGTTCTACTTCATTTAGTCCGTATATGTCAACCAACAAAC